GAAAACTACTCTCCAAATTTGGTAAGAATTATAATATATTCCATATAAAATTTGATATTTATTAATATCATTAATTTAATATTATATTTTTAATTTACATTTAAATATTAAAATTGTAGAACATGAAATGTTTATATTTAATGTGATAAATAATAATCTTCAAAAACATTTGCATTTAAAACAATGCTATCTTCTATTTCACAAAAAACAAGAAGATAAAAGAATATTTCTTAAAAAAAACATATATTTTTTCCACTTCAAACACAATAGCCACATTTTCTCCTTGGAATAATTTTGGTATTTCACGTTTAATTCTAAAAACCTTTCATCTTTTTATTTTAATTTTAATTTCGTCTTTTATTTTATGGTTTTTTTCCACACTGATAATTCTTAACCTTTTTGTTTTGTTTCTCAACATAGTATATATAATATTTCAAGAGCAAAGTTTACTGTTACATAATTGTTTAGTTGATTCTCACCTTAAATATCATATAATTTAATATTTAAATACAGAAATATAATATGAAATTAATGATATTAATAAATATCAACTTTTGTATAGAATATATTGTAATTTTTATCAAATTTGAAGAGTAGATTTCTAAAATTAGTTGACATCTACATTAATGAATATTTGATTTCATAAATTTATCGAATATTTATATTTATATATAAATAAAATGCTATGCATTTGTACATATATCCTTCTATCACTTAGTTATGAATAATTAATGCATAATTTTATTATATCAAATCACTTAATCTATGTATTTACCCCTTGTAATCTTCTTCTTATTTTTTCGTTTCCCTCTCCTTTATATATTAATGTCAAATCTTACTTTCTTCTATTTCATATTATTTGACATGGGTTGATTTGATATACTCTTTAAGTAAACTTTAATTATAGATATATTTTACTAAATTGATCTCAATAATATTATTTTAAAATTTTAAAATTTGATTATTTTTACTATTTTATATAATTATTTAATGGCTTAAGTCATTTCCGGCCACCTAAAGTTGTCCGCATAATTCACTTAGATACTTCAACTTATCCCTGTGCCAATTGAACACCTTATTTGTTCAAAAGTCATTCCTATTAGACACAAAATGTTGACATGGCAAAAAACGTGTGCTGTGCTTCACTTTCTTTGAGCGCATTAAGTTATAAAAAAATAATATTTTTTCTTTTTTTCCCCTTAACTTATGCAACTGAATTAATAAAAAAGAAAAAAATCAATTAACAAAAAAAAAGGAGTAGTCATCTTCTTCCCCATCCCTGCATCTATTATTCCACCATTTTCATCATTTTTCTTACACACATGCGCACACCCCACCCCCTACACCTCTCTCTTTCTCTCACCCTCTGTCATTTTTCTTCTTATTTCCCCTTTTTATGTTAATTTACGTCTCAAAATCTCGATGAAACTCAATTTATTACATGAAAAAATATGAATTGATTTTTTTGGGAAAAAGTTTGTTATTTTTTTTTTCAATTCTAATAAATAGTTACTAATGGATAGAAGATGAAGACAATGAGTAAAAGATATTCATGCTATCGAAATGAAAGAGAATGAGTATTTAGCTTGAATGGATAGGAATGGTGTATTTTGTACTGCCGACGCCAACCAAAGAGAAGAAAGAATTAGAGCGATGGTTTGCTGGAGTCGCCGGTGCCGACACCAGCTCCGGTGGAAGGGGAAACTAGAATTGGGTCTATCGAAGAAGAAGAAGGGAAAGGGGGGGGGGGGTTGTCAATTAAAAAAAACTTTTTTAATTTTTTAAAATACTTTTTGGATTATTTAAATAGAGCTTTTAAAAAAATTTGAATACAATACCACGTGTCATCATTTTATTGGTAAATCGATTTTGTATTCACGTTTGAGATACACACATTTTTATTTTTCAACTGTTTGTCAGTTTATGTCAAATAGGTAAAAATTTCTTAAGGTTAGAGTGTTCAATAGGCACAAGTCTTAGTTGAGGTGTCTAAATAAATTATGTGGACAACTTTAAGGGGCCGCAAATGACTTAAGCCTTATTTAATATTAGGAGTAAAAGGGCTCAACTGTGAGCCGTCAGATATAGACACGTGGCTAACTAAAGAATCGAATTTAAAACGAATACGGGTAAAACCCGCGGAGCAGGAAATTAATCCGTATGAAAGCCAAGCCCCCTTCCACTGAAAATTGAAAACCAGAAACTTCAATGGAGAAGAAGCAAAGCAGTAGGGGCAGAGAAGATCAGAGACGTAAAAGAAAATGCAGAGTTTAATTTTCTGAATCAATTTTTCACTTTCCTTCGTAATTGTTTTTGCCTCGAATATTTTGATTTTTTCCTCCAATTTTTGTGTGCAAATAAAGTCTTTATTAGATATAGTGAGAATCATGTAAATCTACAGTTTATTTGATGATATTCATATATTTTGCGCAAGTTTTGACCATCATGAGAGGAAACGAGTAACTTCAAGTCGCTGATTTTGGTTTAGTAACTAAATTATGTAATACTTACTGAATAAGTTGGGATGATTTTGTGTAATAGTCGTTAAGTACTTAGCATTGCGCCATAAGCTGAATTTCTAAGAAATATGGCTTCAATTGCTGAAGGAATTAGAAATAAGTTGGGATAATTTTGTTTAATAGTCTTTAAATGAATGCTACTACTAATTCTGATTCTGATGATGCATGGAGATAATTAACATAGTAAGTCTCCCAAGTTATCTGATTAACAGAGGTGACAGATTGCACTTTGCAGCCATTTAGTGCAATAAGAAATCAATTCTATGTAAAATAACCAACTTAATTATAGAAATTGAGATGCATTTGCCTTCCTTGGTTTGCGATAACTAGGATTATCAATAGGGAGGCTCGGGGCAGGACAGGACAGGGCATTGTAGGGTTAGATGAACTACATGCCTCACTAGTTAAACTATCAGTTGGTAAGTTACACAAAGTTGTACGTCGACAAAAGGTGATGCCTAGTCTATCTGCTTCAACCATTGATTCAGCAAAAAGAGGTGGGCTATCAAAAAGTGTCATAGCAGTCAATGCTTTGTTTGCTCCATATTTAGCTACACTATCTGCTGCCTTGTGCTGCTCCCTGTATATGTGAGTGACGACTGGATCATGTAACTGTCGGAGTACGGACCTGCAGTCAGACAAAATATTAGCATATTTTGCCTTGGATGATGAGAGCAAGGTGATCACCTCTTGTGCGTCAATTTCCACTTGAAGTGGATGTAGATTCATATGCATATAAGCATAGTCTGGATCCTTTAGTTCAGCTTCAGTGATTGTAGTATTGGGAATATGCATACAATAGCCTAGTATCCAATGACCATCAGAGTTCCTGAAAACCCCTCCTATGCTGCTATGTCTCCATTACCCGAACTAATGCGTCACTACTGTATTATGTATGAGCGAGAGAGATACTTTTTGTCTTTTTGGTCTTCCAAATACTCCTCCCATTCACTTTTACTTCTCCACTTTGGATTTACATGCCCAACCCCTTAAGAAACAATGATTTATATGAGTATTTTACTATAATACCCTTATTAATTGATGATTAGTATTAGGTCTTGAAAAATGATTCAGCAAAGAAGCAATTAATGCTAAGGGTAAAACATAGAAAAAAATAATTATCTTTTCTTGATATGTTAAAAGTAAAATTTATTCTTAGGAATAGTAGACAAGTAAAAGTGAACGGAGGGAGTATAAAATGATACAACACAAACTTAGTTTCTATGTTGTTTTGGCTTTGCGAGTGCTTACTTTTGGAATTAGTAGCAGGGAAAATTTGCAATATTTTTATTTCAATATTTTTGTAATTGAAATAATTTGATTTCAAGTAATAGTACAACAGTTGGCCCATATTGATCTTATTTAAATAAAAAAGAAGTTATTGATATTCCTTTAGTATGAAATCTTATTTTAAACGTTGCCAGCGCCCAACAATTGATATTTCATTAGTACGTTGACAACAACAATCCCATTGTCGACACTGAAATAAGGTTGATAAATTTTCTATTTGCATCTGAAACCCCTTGCCCTACCACTTTCCCTGCCTTCATTATAATTTTTATAAAATATATTTTGTCCCGCCCTGCCCTGCCCCGCACAACACTCCCTGCCCCACCCCGAATATGCCCTGCCCCATTGCCATCCCTAGCGATAATAACAAGATTGTTTGGAGAAGGTTTGAAATGAGTAAATAGTATTGGAGGTAAAACAGTTTGGGTGTCTGAACATTAGCGAGATCATACGTGAGCATTACCAGGGTCATGGAACTTGAGTTTTGAAGTCATGCTTCCCTGTTAGCTTACAAAGGAAACTTCTGACACAGAAAACCTAAAAGAACACACACAAAAAAATGATACTAATATTAATGTCAGAGCAGTTGTTATGCTGGCTATTCCTGTGTTATATGTACAGAATGTATTGTTGGAAGGTGATTTTGGCTGTATATGGTTGTGGCTGTAAATCAATATAATGTTCTTTGCTGGTCTAATTAGTTTAAGGTCATAACTAATTCTTGCATCTATTTACCGTTAAAAATTTACCTTGTGTGAGAGAACATCTTCCCAATAGGTGCGTCTACCAGTGATGAATGTGGCTCGAGTTCTAAACTTGTAGTATGACCAACATTTGGCTTAAATTGGACTTGATGTGGGGAATGTTAGAACTTCTTTCCAGTTGCTGGCTTCTATCTGCCAAGTTGTGATGCTACTAAGTGAGATAAATCATCGGATCCTGAAGATGCATTTTTATTTTGTTGGTGGTGCAACAAAATAAGTGGCCTTAAGGGAAACCTTGGTTAAGATGAAATGGCTGGTAAGTTTGTTCAAATTTTTTTTTTTACAGCAAGGCCTCCTAGTATGAAGGAAGAGCTCTTATTTTTTTCTCAACAAAATAAAATAAAATAAAATAAAAAACAAAAAATAAAAAAATCTCACCAGCAAAATTCAAACAAAGTACATAGAAAATCTGGCTACTGTAAAACACGGATCATACAAAATGGAGTTTGAAGAGTGTAAAAATGAGAATTCCAGTATTGCCTGCTCTGTTGTCCATGTACTATAATCATCATGTATTTATTTTTAATGTGTCTATGTACTTTGCTTCCACAATATCTTCTCCCGAAATGAAGTCAAGGAAATCACCGAAGCCTCCTTCTTTGTAGGACAAGATATTTTGTTCGTTAACAAGAGCTGATGCAGGTCTAACTTTTTTACCTAAAGCTAGACTATGAAGGCTGACAATTGATATGCGCTTTTTTTCTGAGTTAACTGTTGCTCGGTGGACAACACTTTTGTATATCCCATTGGTCAGTACTTCCATGTGATCTCCCAGCAGAACAGCGAGAGCTCCCTCAATGAGAGGAACTGAATGCCACTTTTCATCTCGGCCCATGATTTGCAAGCCCTGGTGATTTTGTAGAATGATGGATATCATACCATAATCTGTGTGTGGTGGCAATCCTAGTGTAAGATCTGGCTCAGGACATGCTGGATAGCAATTAACTGCCATGACCTGGGAGCCTTCCGCAATGTCTTCATGTAAGTAATTAGTGTTTAGTCCTAAGCTCTCAAATATCACTTCCATGAGTTCTTCTTGCAACTTTTGTGCTGCCATAGTGTAGTTTACCATTTTCTTCCTGCATGAACAACTTCTTTAGGATCTTGAAGAAATTATATCGTTCTTGGACAGTAAGAATATGCATCTATAAAACAAACATATCTGCTAAACACATTCAACAAGGACAATGAAAGACTTACTTGTAACATTTGGGATTTGATGGCCACAAGTCAATCCAAGTTGAGGTTGGATTAGCGTAGTGCTTGAGGAAGTCTCTCCAAAAGTGTACTTTGTCTTTGACATGGTTTAGACTGGTACCATATCTTACGGGGTCACAAACATTCGAAGACAAAAGATGCCTTTTATCTTGAGTTGGTAAATCAAAAAATTCACTCGCAGCATCTATGGCGTTGTCCATGACTGACAATGGGATACCATGGTTAACTACCTGCAAAGTCATTTATTGCATGCATGTTGTTATTTTACGTTCAGGGTGAATCTGTGATTGTCATATTTCTCTTCCTGTTAGACAACCTAAGTATCTCAAAATCTAGGATGTCTGTTTTAACAGATCAACTGAAAATAAAAAGGAAGAGTTGAGATAAAGGGATATGAAGCTTAGAACTCTAATGCACCATGTAGTACTTTCTATATGCCGATCTGACGACATCTTTTTCGTTACTTGGTGCATGCATATTCTTCTTATTTGGATCCCTATCTCTAGGAACTTTATGTATACTGAAGAAATAAATAAATAGCTTATTCTAGCTAGTGCGTGATTGCAGGTAACATGGACACTTCACGACGAGTAGTACCTGGAAGAAACCAAATTTCTTGCAAGCCAGGTGTACATCCTGGATTATCTGAGACCGAAGAAGAGGGTGTTGCCGATTGGATAGATCCACAATTGGCAAGCATGTGTTACACAGGGTTCCATCGGGGCGTAGGGATGGTGGAAGGACGTAACGCTTGGGAACATAGGTTAGTCCCTTTTCAATAAGTGTCATGGCACTAGTAAATGAACCATTTGCTGAAGCTGAGCTCTCTCTCATTCTTCCTACCATATTGTGTTATGTTTATGACTTTTTAACTCCCTATTTATAAGCAGGAAAATATGAAGATATGGTTGGAGCTTTAAATTATTTATCGAGTTATACATGTTAATGTAATGAATATACGTAAAATGTGATGGTACCATGACTATTATAATCAATGGAGAAATATAGAATATATAGTCATTTTACATGAAGTGCCAAAGAGTGAAACTTTTTAGGGCTTGGTAATTGGCGATTCTAATAGTTGAATCCCATAGAGTAACCGTGTTCAGATTCACGCCATGACAAAGGCGGCAATTTTTTTTTGTTGTTTATTTTAAACATTTGCTTCTTCGATTTTTTTTTTCTTTTTCACGAGCCAAATTTGATTAACCGTATATATCTTTTTCGACTTCGAATTTTTTTTTTGTGTGGATAACTTTTATAAATAAATAGAGCATATTACTGTTTAGGTTTCACACTAGTTTTGTATTCTATATCGAATAAAAAAATTTAGGCCGACATTTGTTTATCTTTTTCTAGTTATTAAATAGTTTTGTATTCTATATCGAATAAAAAAATTTAGGCTGACATTTGTTTATCTTTTTCTAGTTATTAAAAATTGGTTAAGTGTAGGTCTATCTGTACGAGTGTAAGTTTGATGAAAAGTAATAATTACCATGTATTACAGAGAAAATTTCTTACATAAGAATAATTTGATAGATTGCATTATAAGTTCGTCTGTTGGTTTAATTCTCATAACAGCAAGATATTCAATATAGCTCCCCAAGTTAGGTCTGGAGAGAGTCGGGTGTATACAGTCTTACCTTTACTTTTGTGAGGTGGAGAGACCATTTTTGATAGATGGGTCTACGAGGGTTGGCTTCATGCAAATCTTACCCTTATTTTGTGAGGAAGAGAAACTTGAGATAGAAAGATTGTTTTTGATAGACATCGGCTTTTCAAAACACGATTGAAAAGAAATGCAAGTGTAAAAAGCTATGATGAAATTAATGAAAAGAGAGAAGTACTGAAAGAGTAAAAATATTAGAGATAACCATAGTAAAAAAACAACAGTAATAATATAATAATAATCGAAGAATAAGATAATAAGCAATTGTTATCCCCTCATCTTAATTGGGTTCAAATCAACATACAACATATTGATGATTTTCAAATTAATTAATTTAAGAAATCACCACTTAATTATTTTTATGATGGATTAGGACACCTATCTTAACTAAGTTATGCTTAAAATGTAAAAAAAACTCCATCTTTATGGTCTACTTAACTTAAGATTCCATGTAAGGATTTTACTTATTTTAAAAGGGAAAGAGTTTCGCATCTTTTAAAATCTGTCAAATACGGCCATCGGCTGATCTTAGATTAATTAACTGAGGCATACGATGTATGTTAAGTTCAAAAAAAAAGTGCTGCCGTTGGTTAAAAAATCTATACATAAATGAGTATTGGACGATTCTAATGAATCATATGAAGTATATACGTCAATTGCTTTTTAACTAAGTGAATTAAAAAAGAGAGGAGTATTGAGAACATTCTGAACTTGACGCAAATTATTAGCTTTGTTTTTGAACTATTGACAGTTTTAAAAATACTCTATTGCTTGACTAACTAAACTTAGATATACCCCAAATTTGCCACATGACATAGCATGTGGTCACAAACTCTTGTAAGATCATGTGGCTTTTAATAAAAAACTGAGAGAAGTATTGAAAACATTCTGAACTTGACAAGAATTTAGATAGGGTGTATCAATCATGTTGCAAGATTGTGGGGTGTATTTAAGTTCAATTAGTCAAGTAAATGAGTGTTTTTAAGACTGTCGATAGTTTAGGAATGAAACTAATAATTCACGCCAACTAGTTAAAAAATAGTCAAACTATATCATTCAAGGGTCTCTAGTGACTGTAACATGTAGTTCAAAATAAATCTTTAATTTTAATAATTGATGTGAGCCTTTATAGAATATTGAGAATTGCTGCAAAACTGACACGTCATACTTCTCCAACTAAGTTTGGAGATCTTTTCATTGAAATCCTTAGCGAAATTGTTGGATATAGTCACTTTTTAATGAGAAAAAAATATGTATAAGTTATTTGCAATTGGGTAATTTACAAGATTAGATCCAATAAATTATGGTTTTGTACTTTTAATCCCATCTTAATTAAAAGATGATCTCCGCTTAAGAAAATTTGATTGGCAAAATTTCTTTGATCATCGGACATAAGTTAAAGGCATAAATTCTTTTATCTATGGAACATAATTTATGGAAGTATCGCAGAATTAGATATGTAGTTTTTTTAATCTTGTTTATAAAATGACCTGGGGCCTTATTGATTAAAAAAAAAAAGCTATGGACATTTCAAAATAAGTCAAATTAAAGCAGTAAATATTTGCTCAATTGGCAACAAACAGGTGTTGGTCAATTAAGTATAAGTTACAACGAACAGACAAGACTTACAAATACTATTCATTTTACTTATTTTTGTTAAATTAATCACAATTAAGTTATGATCATGTATTGACAGAAGTTTTGTTCACTACTTTTTCTCCACTTTATAAAATCATTCTTGTAATCTATCTACAAACAATATTCCACATATTTTTAGCTGAAAATGTATGCTACTAAATTATTGTTGAGACATTGCAATTTATATGCTCATATTACAGATAGGGGTATTCAAAAGCAAAATTGACAAATCGTATCAAATTTATAAATCAATTTTTTTTTATACTAGTGATTTAGTTGGACTTTGTCTGATATTGAAAAAGAAAACCCAAAGTCAAGCTCAAACCAACCGAAATCGATATTATATTTATACAAAATTTATAAATATTACTTTATACTTCAAAAATATCTATTATAATGTGATTTGATACAAATTTTATATAGAATTATAGCTTATAAGCATGGAATAACTCAAATAAAGCTCAAATTAAATTATATTTATTTTCATTATCTCTTATTAAGAGCACTATCATTATGAGTTTTCATTATCTTTGTTGACTAAAAAAAATTAAAAATCATCCATATGTATATATCTTCTTGTCTCCCACGTGACCAAGTTGCATATATGAGCTACCTAGGCATAGCAAAATCGTTATTAATAGCAAAAGAACATGCTACACACACATTACTATATATTAGAAGAGTCTAGGATTTACTACCATTGTTCCAATAAAATCATTACAAATATCCAATATTTACTATATAAAATATATAAGTGGGCCCCACCACCTTCCACTTAAATACTACATATTATATATTATTAATTACTATACTATAAATCACTACTAATATCCAATATATTTATCAAACTATTTAAGTGGGCCCCACCACCTTCCACTTAAATACTACATATTATATATTAATTACTATACTATAAATGACTTAAATATTCCATATTATCTATTACAATAATTAACAATTATTTCACACTTTAAATTCTATCAATGCCATATAAATTAGGATAACAAACCTAACATATAATATTTAAATATATTTAAAAATAATATAAGTAATACTATACATTACAATAATTAACAACTTAATTATTTAAAACTTATATAAAAATTTTAATTGACTCTCTAGATTCTATTGGTACCACATAAAATGGATTATATAATAAACATATATTGTTTGAAATTGACGAAAAAGAAACAATAAATCACAATAATTAATAAAAAAAATAGTCCACTCCAAAAAATCTATCAATTAACAACATATATTGTTTGAAATTGACGAAAAAGAAACTATAAATTACAATAATTAACAAAATAAATCTCTCGACTCCAACAAATCTATCAATTAATGCCACATAAATTGGGACATGGCAAATAACATATATTATTAAAAAATTAGGTTCAAAATGTACTAAAAAATACAATAATTAACAACTTAATATATTAAAGAGACATATAAAAAAGGGTTAATATTTGAAATTCTGCATCTGCCACATAAATTAGAACAAAGAGAGTAATAAATATTATTTTCAAAATTATGTTAAAAAAAAGTACTACAAATCACTATAGCTAACAATTTAAAATATTTTTAAAATCATATAAAAATTTCAATAACTTCTCAAATTCCATAATATGACATAAATTAAAAAAAAAGTGTTATAAATCATAATAAATAGTACAATATTTAAACTACTTTAAAAGCATTATAAATTGTAATAAATAATACAACAATTTAAATTACTTAAAATTTAACGACTTAATTATTTTTTTTAAATGTATTAAAATTTTGGTTAATTGTCAAAACTTTACATGTGTCACATAAATTGGGACATGGACAGTCACACAAATTGGGACATGGACAGTCACACATATTTTTTTAAAAAAATTACATTAAAAGTATTCTATCAATTAACAACATATATTGTTTGAAATTGACGAAAAAGAAACTATAAATTACAATAATTAACAAAATAAATCTCTCGACTCCAACAAATCTATCAATTAATGCCACATAAATTGGGACATGGCAAATAACATATATTATTAAAAAATTAGGTTCAAAATGTACTAGAAAATACAATAATTAACAACTTAATATATTAAAGAGACATATAAAAAATGGTTAATATTTGAAATTCTGCGTGTGTCACATAAATTAGAACAAACAGAGTAATAAATATTATTTTCAAAATTATGTAAAAAAAAAAGTACTACAAATCACAATAGCTAACAATTTAAAATATTTTTAAAATCATATAAAAATTTCAATAACTTCTCAAATTCCATAATATAACACTTAAATACTACATATTATATATTAATTACTATACTATAAATGACTTAAATACTCCATATTATCTATTACAATAATTAACAATTATTTGACACTTTCAATTCTATCAATGCCATATAAATTAGGATAAAAAACCTAACATATAATATTTAAATATATTTAAAAATAATATAAGTAATACTATACATTACAATAATTAACAGCTTAATTATTTAAAACTTATATACAAAATTTAATTGACTCT